CACTTAGGCAGATGAACCTAAAGGGTTGAAGGTACCACCAGGTTTCTTTAGCTCCCTTCCTCCACCATTTCCCTTCTTAGAACGAACCGCCGAGCCCAGCGACCTGGCCAGCACCCCCAACCTGCCTCGCTACTGATGACCACCACACTCTCAAAGCTCCGGATGCCGTGGGAACGGCATGGCATGGTGAGGTCTATTCTAATTTTGCCCTCCCCTATGCTACTGATTTCTCATTGAGTTGGACCCTCCCAACCCACGCGACCGCCGCTCCCATGCTGGCGGCTTCGACCCTCCACTACACCTGAAAGTCTTTCGTCATCGTACATAGCAGGCAACACTGCCGAAGATGATATTCATTGATTGTTCGAACAATCCCTCACATTGTGCCGTACAGCACCAGTTGCCGTGGCCCGAGCGCTGAACTCGACCGACAGGCCGGCTGGGCCCAGGAGAAATCAGAGTAAGAAACAACCCCCCCTACAACACAAGGTCCCAAATCTCCGACGTCAACTCAGCCCGCCGGCGGAACCCTTTCACTGCGCTCAGACTCCCGCGCAACCGTCAGATTGGTGACCCTGGTCTACCATTCTACCGAAGTGACCTGCCCATGGCTGAGTAGCGAGCGGTCCCGCCACCCACCGCAACCCGCAAGGAAAACACCCCTGCCGGGGGAACGGACGCCGAGTTCTTGGACGAATCGCATCTGGAGGAGGAACCCTGCCCGCTTCCCAGCTGTCGGTTCTTGACGCCGCTATTCACCCGCCCCTCCTGTCGTACCGAATGATAACCAGTCAAGTGGCATCCCCGAACTGCATCTGACCCGTCACTTCATTTTCACTATGGGAGTGTAGGGTCATGGACGTTCATCCGCTTTGGGTTCTTGTCGCGATACCCCCACAAGACAGCCACGCCGCTTGTCTACGTACGCCTGCATTGGCTCCAGTTCATGCTTGGTACTTCTCTTCCGGCCGGCCACGCTTACTGACAGGCACGCTGTTAGGCAGGGTATTGACCACACTCAGCAACGCACAACTTGTTTTGCCTCTGATCACAGCACGTACAACCAGGTGGTTCAATCCGAAAGGTGACACACCAACAAAAAGCTGGTTGTCGTCTCAAGTGATGATCGACAACCGCCCCTCCCCCATCTCAAAGGTTTGAGGATCAGCTTCAAACGGCCTGGGACTATCCGAGCTTTCGGCCCCGTTTCAGAAGCTTTTTCAGGGTTCGGTTGACATTTGTTCCACCACCACCCGCATGGGCCTTCATCTGATTGTTGTCTACGTCGAGCTTAGCCCCGAGTATTACTTTTCTTCCTCGCGAACCTGGTCTGTTCGGAGATGCGAGTGGCCCATTGTATCCCTGTCTAGCGGCACCGTGCTGTTGATATTGAACCCGTCCTTTTCGGCAGGCCATCCGAATCCTAGTTCGCCAGTTGACCACCCCCAAAGGTGCGTCAGCCATATGATTGCCAGTCTGCTTGCAAAGCCTTTAGAGCCAGCTCGTAAAAGCCCCAGATAGACGTAGCCTCTAGGCGATGAAGCTGAGATGGGGTAGGCATCGTCACGGTCCCAATGTTGCAGGAAGGCGGCCCTGACTCTTGGTCACATCATTTGTCAGTCGAGCCTTGGTTTGACGAGCCGTATCATGACCAGATACTACGTCGAGTCAGCCACTGCGCACTTCGTGTCCGCGCCAAACGTCGAGGAGCATCTGCATGATTTCTGCGCTTGACATTGCTCATATCGACGAGGCCACTTCTCCTACTCGCAATTCCTCCAACGGCCACAGCTACCCCTCAAAACACCCCCTAATCGGCCCCCTCACGGACGACTCCGCACCAAGACAAGTTAACAACTGCAGGCCTGTCTCAACTAAAGCATCTACGAGCCCCGCCCCCCCCCAAAGTCACCTTTGATGGCGGAGCTGGTTTGCAAGCCACGGAGGACACTGACCAACGACAGCTTGACAGATCTAGGAGTGGGCTTGGGGGTGGGGGCAAAGGGTCATCGCTGGCAGCCGCCGTGGCCGCCCGAAAGACGTGTCTACATGTACATGGGACGTGGCCGGTCCCTTGGTCTTGGTTATTGAACGGCACTTAATCTAAGGCTGCATGTGCAGCTTGGAACTCAATCGATGGCGTCTTAAGGCAAAAGGACGACATGATGCCCGTGATGAGTTAGAGCCGATCCAAAGGCGATTTAAGTGCCGCTTTTGCCTTTTTCTCGGGCCACGCATGTCCTGTGTACATGGAGATCAGAGCTGCGTTCAAGATGGCTGCAGGTGATGCTCTATGCCTCATGTCTGCCTGTATCCCTACACGGCGGCACAGGGTGAGGAACTGGGAGAAGATCATCCCCTAGAGCGGCCGGTATTCTTTCTCTTGTTCGCCAGTCACGAGAACGCTGCGGAAGCAACATGACACGAGCAGTCGGCTTCTGTACCCCTGTCACACTACGTCGTGTCCATCTTGCATCCCAGCCGGCCATACCCATTATTGCTCCTCTATACCATCGTCAATGACCAACTTTGGCAGCCCTTGCGAGGACACGTATGCTGCGTCCGACGCGCACAGAGATCCACGAGCAGGAAAGAACGAGCACAGAGAAATCGTGACTGCAGCGAGTGGACGAATCACGGTGTACACGAATCGCGCGAGCGGAGGCTCGGCCTACCGTTGACAGGGGAGATTGTCTCCGTTTTGCTGAATCAAAATGCTTGCTTCATCTGCCTAAATGACCTGCGAATGAGGGGATAGACCACCAAGTATGAAAAGAACCACCGCCATCTCGCCTTCGGTTCCTTCTTCATTCTTCTTTAGCCGCCGGAAAGAGTATGTCCCCATCGGGATGTCTGCCTCCACCCCTTCTCATCCGTTCGTAAGCTGCTCTGTGTCAGGCTGGTCGCGATGACAAAGAAGACAGTCGGTGACGATGGCAAAGAGACATGTCGGGAAAAGTACAAGGCAGAGCACGTGCCAGTGCAGATGGAACCTCTGGAACCCACTCGCCTTAGATCAACTTCGGGGTCTTCTACACTGAGATTGCCGGACGGACGAAGTGTAGATTACCTCGAGTCGTAGATGTCATCGTCATCCCGCGTGTTCCGGCTGCCCTGCGCGCCATGCATCGTCGTGTGTCCGACGGCGCTGTCCTGTCGGCCGACGTAGCTCTGCGTCGGATTGAAGCCCGGGACTGGCGGCGCGCCGCGCAGAGGCGCGGGCCGCGGGGTCCTGGAAAGGTCACCGCCACCACCAGACTCAAGCGTTCGGTCCTTTCGGTGGCAGACCGGGCGGGGGGCCCGTCGGTGGCGCAAAGTCGCCGTGGCTGTTCTCGTTGGTGCCGCCGACGGGTTTGCGAGATGGCTGCTGAGGCGCCGAGGTCGGTTGAGAGGGCAGCCACTGCTGCTCATGCTGTGGAGGACGGGTGTCGAGGGGGAGAACGGGTGGCTGGCCGTTGGTCATCTCGGCCGAGAACGTGTTCTGCTGGTTGTGGCTCGGGGTGCTGTTGAGGCCGAGCTGCTTCCGCGCGTTGAGGACGCCTCGTTGGTGTTGGTTAAGGGCAGTCTGAAGCTGCTCGTTGGCGTCGATCAGGCTCTCCATCGTGTCGTTGTCAGGAGCGGGGTCCTCGGCGAGCATGTAGAGCTGTATGCTGCGCGTCGCGCTCTGGCAGCGGTCGGCAAACTCCTTGACGAGGTCGTTGTTGAGAAGTTCCTGTGGCGGGGTGTTGTTGACGACTTGCGAAAGGAGCTTGGCGGAACTCCGGGCTTCCTCAAGGCGGCTCGCGAGCTCAGCCGGGCCTGGCAGCCTCCTGTTCGAGTGACTCCTCGCAAAGTAGTTGGAGTTGTGACCGCCTTCGTTATACTGTGATGCCGTCATCTGCGGGGCAGAATGCGCGCCTTGGGGATACTGAAGGTGTCAACTGGCGTCGCGTAGTGTCGTGATGAGGAATCGTCACTAGACATACCCTGAAGTTTCTCTCGCCGCGCTGGAAGGCGCGCTCCTTCTCCTTCTTCCACATGTAGACCAAGTCCTTGACGCCCTCATCGTTGGCCCTCGTCTGCTCGAAATCGTCCAAGGTCTCCATGAGGATCTGGCGCACGCTCGGGTCGCGGCCGTTTCTCAGCACATCCTTGACGACGTTGCAGAACTTGAAGTCGAAGTTACGGGTGAAGCTGCGACCAGGGTTGTCGGCCAGGATGCGAATCAGCATGACGGCGTTGTACTGCCAGGAGGCCTTTGGTGAGTACTTGTCCGTCAGATACTTGCGGATGTAGCGGGCGCATTGCGTCGCGGCGGTCGGAGAGGATTCGGCGGCATCGACAATGGGCGGGAGGAAGAGAACCTCGTCTCCCTGGTGGCGCGCCTGTCAGCGCACGTGGTTCCGGCGCACATGAGAGTGAGGAAGACGGCAATGGATATACATACCTGTCTGTTTGGGCCTCCAGACTCGCAGAACGCTTTCTGTTGGGTCGTCAGTGAATAGGCACAGGCGAAAACAGTGTCCCAACGACGGCAACCGAGGTCTGCTTACCACATTGCGAACAGCAATTCCTTCGGGGCTGTCTTCTTGTAGATCGTCTGCGATGGCGAGTCCCTGGGTTGTCGGTGCCTCGTTGGAAGGCCCGCTGCCGCTGCCGGTGTTGTTGTTGTTGCTGTTGCTGTTGTTGGCTGCCGAGCTTGTTCCCGTCCTCCGCTTGAGGGTGCCAACTATGCGGTTGACGCTGAGACCCTTCTTGACGGATTTCATGATTGCGACCACAGAGCCAAGGTTGAGGTGAGGTTTTCGGGTGGGCGCAGGTCGCTTCAGATCCGAGCCTCGGCGGGGTGGTGGATGACGCGGATGGGTCGGCTTCAAGCGGTATTGGGGTTTCAATGGCAGTCGCCTTTGGAACGGGATACGGCTCTGGTTCGTTGGGGAAGACGCGCAGCTGCAGGTCGATGGCGGCTGAGGCGAGGCAGTTGTAGATGCAGGTCCCAGGTCTCGGGATGCCGGTCGGTGGGTGCTGTGTTCCAGTTCGGGTGGATGGATGATGGGAGTCAATGCTGAAAGGGTATCAAGTCGAGTTGCACGTTTGGCGTTGGGTCACGCCGGGGTCTGGGTACTTTTGGGGTTGGTCGCCTTGCTTTTGGGTGGGAGGGGCGAGGGACGAAGGAGCATGGGGCTCGTGAGCCGAGAGCGAGAGGGGGGCCGCGCGAGGGAGCTTGTGGTTTGATCGGTACCTGTTACCGACCTCTGGGATCCCTCGACGATGGATGGCGCCTCTCTGTGTCGAATATGTTTTGTTTTATCAGTGGTCGCGCCGCATTCACTGCTGCACCTGCAACTGCACCGGCATCAGCCTCGGTATGTTTGTTGGGAGGCACGGTAGACAAGATGGTGCGGCGGCGACCAAGTTGGCTTTGGGGGTCTCTTTCTTGCCTTTATACCAGGGTCCAAGCTACCTTGGCGATATGTGCCCTCGGGAGACTAGGAACGAACAATAAGGGTCCTGTGGCCTTGCGCGCCCACTCCACAATTCACTTGAGCATGGTCGATCTTTCGCGGCTTTGCTGTCGTGGGCCCTGTCAAGCTTCCTTTCTTTGCTTGCTTGCCTGCTTGCTTGCACACCTCCGCGCCATGACCAGGCGCTTGAAGCATGAACCCCCGCTATCCTCGTGGCCAATTTTTTGAACGAGTTCTGCGCTACCTGCTCGCTCATCTCGTCTACTTTCGAGGAGAACAGGCGGAGGGGGCTGCCCTGTAGTGACGTCTCCCATGCCAAGCATCTGCCACGCGCCTGCACAGCCTCATCCACGCAAGCTCGCGAGCAGGTTGCCGCACCCACGACGGCAAAAAGGACACGCCATCTACTGGACAAATGTCCAGTTTCTCCCATCCAGTCCATCGAAAAAAAAGGCCGGCCGACGTCGGCAGTTGGACCGACGCGTCTTCGTCGGGCTTCCGTCCACGTCGAGCATCCATCGTCTTACAGGCCTCCGCCTCAGAGAGCGATAGTCCCCTGTGCCACTCTTTGTGTACCATGTACCGCAATCCCCGATCAGCAACGCATCCCGCCCCTTTCGTCGTCCCTTGAGGGTCTCGGCCCCCTCGCTCGCAAACAGGGTGAAAGCTTGTGATACACCCCTTGCCAACGCGCGGACGTCATCTTCAACATGCCTCGTCCCGCCGGCTCGCCTGCTGTGTGCGCCGCCGCGGCCCTGTGCGCCGCTGTGGCCCCGTGAGCTTGTCTCCCTCTGTGTGTCTCTCCGAAGCTGCACCTCGCGCCTGAGCCAGACTGACAGACAGACAAAACCGACAGTCTCCTGCATCACGTCGCTTAGCGCCTGTTGGCGGGACACTCTATGAAACCCAGTCCTTCCACAAGAACCGCAGAGCCCCCGCGGCAAACCAATGTTTCATCCCAAGGCTATCACGACAAAGTGCGATCTGAAACGAGCGACCAGTGGAGGAGGAGAATTCTATTCGTAGCGACCAAACTGGATCGGTGGCCTACTCATCCCCCGTCCGTGATCACGGTGCCATAACGGCCCCATTGTCCTACAGCCCAGGCCCGCCTTCCCCGGCGCAGGGCCACGCCGCCGCCTGGACATGCACTCGTCTGCCAACCCCACATCAAAACAAAAACTGACCATCACACCTGATCACCTCTCACCATCTGACTCGTCGACATGCGGGGTGACGTCCTCCACGATGAGATTGCCCGACCGCCCTATCTTCTCTCCCATGGTCGTGTCCTCGCTGGCTTCGTACACCACCCTCGGCATGATCGATGCAATGCTGAAGCCGAACTTGTGCTTGTAGTCCGCCGGTTCCTCGGCCTTCTCGTCGAGCTCTCCCTGTAGCAGGTCGTAGCACTCGACAAACGCGTAGAGGGCCTCGAGGGACGTATCCTTGCGGAACCGTCTCACGATCCTCCCGGCGCCGGACGACTCGGGCATCTTGAGCGCGATGCGCACCACCTCCTTGTCGTCGGCGGCTGGCTCGGCCTCGATCCTCGCCGCCCGCCAGCGCTTCCACTGATCACGCTGCGCTGCGAGCCGCGTAGCCGCCGCGGCCTCCTCCTCTGCCCTCTGCACCGCCTCTGCCGCAGCCTTCTCCGCCTCGCGTCGCTGCCGAGCCCTCTCTCGGTCCTTGGCAAGAGATCGCTCGTAGGCCGAGTCTTGCTCGTGGCGCAGGTTCTGCGTCATCTCCCTTGCCGTCCTTTCGGCACGCACGCCCGCCAGGTCCGCCGTGTACTTGTTGATGGCGCTCTGCGCTTCAGAGAGGTAGACTGTCGGCGGCATCGCGCCGACGAGGCGCTTCACGATGCTCATCCTCGTGCTGCCCTCTTTGGGCGTCAGACAGACCAGCGCTGAAAACGGGTACTTGGTGCAGTTGTACTCTTGCGCCACTTGGTAGGCCTCCGAGTCGAGGATGTTGCCGCCCCACAGAATGATGTTGTTGGCCGGATCCCGGATGAAACTGATGACCTCCGGTGCCAGGAGCGTCTCGCGCGTGAAGGATTCCGTATCGTCGTGCTCCGGTGACATCAACACAACCCACAGGAACTTTAGGTCCTTCTTCGCCAAATCTTGCGCTTGCGCGATGCCTCCTTCGAACCACGGCAGCTCGCTATTGCCGTACTCTTCCTCAAACTCGCGCTTGAACCTGGCTGCCGTATCTTGGGGCATCAGCATTCGGCGGCCCGTGGTGTTCCGAAGGCCGGGTGCCGCTCCGTTCGTCAACCCTCGCGGTCGAATTGAGGCCGGCAAGAAGGAGAAGAGGTACCAAACAGTGCGGAAGAGTCGAGAGGCAACAGCCCACCCGAGGCTGAAGGGCGTCAGTAGGAGTCCGACGAGGAACGGCGGCCTGTGGATTGTGTTGGGCATGGGGACGATCCTTGGTGCCGGTTCGGGTCTGTCGGCTGGGTTGCGTCTCGGCGGCTGAGCCGCTGATGTGTACATGCTCTCCTGCAAGTTTTCGAGTCTGGCAGATGACCGCGGGAGCTCTTGTTGAGCCAACGCCTCGGCTAGAGGATCAGGCCCTTCGCCGTCGAAGAACTTCGCGATGGCAATCTGTCACGAGTCTCGTTAGTGTTCGTGAATACCTGGTTGATTGGTTCATGGCCGTACCTGGACATTCCATTGTGATCGTTGTAGGAGTGGTATGGCGTCTTTGACCTCTTGATCTGTGACCTGCATGTACTGCTGCAGGACATCTTGTTGGCTTGGAGAAAGCTCTCCCAAGTCAACATCTCCCGTCGCCATCGGTATGCTTTTGAGTGGCGATAATTCTGGGCGTTTTCAGGAATTGTCCTGAATGTGAACCAAGTCGCCTGGTCTAGGTACACCAAAAAAGAATTGCTGATGCTTGAAGTGACGCGTAACCGAATCAAGTCAGGAG